AAAGCGTAGAATTTCGGGCTGGGGCGGGTATGGCTGTACTTGGGCTATTGATACGCGGCGGGCCTCATCTCGCATGCCATGCCCATTGTTTGTGCTTGTCAGTTGGACCATGATGCCTGTGTTTGACATCAGTTGTCCAAGCCATGACAATGCCCTTCCTTGACCTTGCCATGTGTGTAGAATACCGAGAAACTATAGCGGGTACCAACGCTGGTTGGATATGGAACGGGCTCAGCTGGTTCAGCTGGGGGTGTAAATGGGGATGGATGGAGTGTCGGAGGAGCCGGGTCAGAGTCAAAAGAGGATCTGAAAATGACATGAACAGTTCAGAGGTTGAGAACAGGAGAGACAGAGACACTAGACTAGACAAAGAGGGTCAGAGAGCAGAGCATCAGAGACAAGACACGGGAGCTTGCAGGAAATGTCAAAGTTGTGGACATATCAGAACCCCTGTCAAGGTTTTTGGTCTGGCAGCGTTTCCACGACAAGAAACAGAGCAAAAGCAGTCTTGTAAGATGGAGAAAAGCAACTTCAGGTGGTTCTGGTTGCAGCAAACTAGGCAATTGGAGGGACGGGGGGGAAACATGGGTGTCACAAAGACAGGGAGCATAGTCTAATGAGGCGTACAATAACTACGAAGCGGAGATCAAGCCGTAGGCGAAGCGGAGATGGCTACGACAGGTTCGGCAGAGTAGAAACGAGATTTAGAATTAGCAGAGTCGTTGAAGAAAGGGATAAAAAGAAAGAAAAGAAAAGACGGTATAAGGCAGAGGAGAGCATGACTGAGTCGAGTGGACATGGCTTGATGATGAAGGATGACGGTTTAGAGTGGGTTGAGTGGATGATGGGGCATTCAGCACGGGGCAGGGACAAGGGATATCAGCAGGGATGGAGCCTTTCACTTGTCTAATAATCTTTCTTTCTTTTCTTTTTTTTCCTTTGCTTCCTCCACTTGAACACGCAGTCAGGTTACACTTTTTACTCTACAGGCGGCTGTCAGTGTCAGTTGCGGCGTAGGGAGGTGCCGGACCGTAAGGTATCCCAATCCCAACATCTCTTGCTTGCATAAGGGCAGTTTAGTGAGGTCGATGTGGATTTGGACGTGGATGTGGAGGGGGAGGGGCATTTCTCTAGACACTTTTGTTAGTGTCGAGTCTTTGCTTTTGCTACTTGTGCTTGTCGACAAAGAGGCAGTGCGGCCGTTGGACAGTCCACGTTTCAACGCTCTAAAGACCCTTTCGCTCCTCGATCGTCATACAAATGAGGTGAATGACTCGCTAGATGCGGTCAAATAACTCCAATAGTCGACTCCATCAATAACAGAACCATTCCGTTTCAAGGGTCCTTTCCTTGATATTGGGACGTCGGGATAATGGAACGGATTCCCCAACCCTCGACCTTTCAGCTGGGTCAATATGCACCATGTTGCGCCTCTAAGCTGCAGATGGCCTCGGCTTGATCAAGATATGTCATATGGGTCCGAGAGCCTCCATGTCGGTTGCGCAGTGGTCAATAGACGTACGTCCACCGCATATTCAGGGTTGACTCAACATCAGCATCAGCATCAGCACCAGCATCATCTGCAGCTGCACGCGCACGCGCACGTACAGGTATGCACCTGGGAACTGGGGTACCTCTGCCGTAGCGTAGCGCTGCAGCGCGGGATCTGGAGTCTGTAGGCCAGTCGCTGGCGCCATGACATCGCATGGCATGACGGATAGTCGTGATAACCACTGATTAAGTTGAGCTGGTGCGTGGACCAAGAGCCCGGCTGGCATTACAACCTGAGACACATCATGTACGTGTACGTGCGTGCGTGCAGTGCAGAGTGTCTTTAGTGGCATGAATTACGTGCCGGCCTAGAGGGAAAATAACTGGGAAAAAAGAAAGGTTGAGACTAACACAGTCGGGCAAGGAAAAAGAAAGCAGAGAGCCCCTAGACCCGAAAATGCAGTTTGACAGTGAGGAGACCTGGGTTCTGATAGCCTATTACTGGAGAAGAATATGCTATCATTACGATAGGCCATTTTTACCAGGAAGCCAAAGCCTTTGCAGTAACTGGTTGACTCTATCGTGAAATGGTATAGAGAGTAGGTAGCTGCTCTGACAGACAGCAGTACCGTTATAGTGGCCAGCCAGTAACTTTAGTGTATTCTTATCCATGATATTCCCGGCAATCAGTATCTCGGCCTCTCCCGTCTTCCCTAGCTTCCCCTACTATTGGGTTGAATTATCACATCCACCCTCACATGAACGACCGATCCTACTCTGTTCTCACATTTTCTGTACGTCTTGTCACGCGCAGATCGATTCTCTTGTGAATTTCACGCCCCGAGTGCAGCCTCAACTGGGAAACCATTCGATAGGTTCCCTGAGGCACGCACCTGCTACGGATACTTACACAAGCATCAGCGGTACGCTTCCGAAACAGCGCTAGACTAGTTTGGTCCGGGAATATTTCCTGCCTCAAAAAAATTGTCCTGCACCGACGATCAAGCAAACAACAGCCGGCGGCACGCGCAATCCTCCCAGGACTATCACACTGCACCGAATAGCCTGTAAGTTCCCTCGATCGAACCATTGTTTGCTTCCTCTTCAAGCCACATGTTTTACATTGCGACATGGCTCAAGGTTACTGACTTGATATCGGCAGATTCTGCACCCCCAGCTCCACCTATACGATACTATTTCAGAGCAATCCACCGTAATCACCGACAATGAAGAGCAAGCGCGCAAGAGAGGCCGCCGAGGTCGACGATGAGCCCATTGCTTCTGTTGATTCTGAGGCCCCAGCCAAGAAGCGCAAGCGCAGCGAGGATGATGGTGCCGATCTGAAGAAGGCCAAGAAGGAGAAGAGAGACAAGAAGTACAAGAAGGAATCGCGCAAGGAGCGCAAAGAGAAGCGCAAGAACCTCCAGGATCTCCCCGAACAGGATGATGACGAAGAGGCGGCCGAAGATGCTCCAATGGCTGAAGCTGATGACAAGCCTGCGGATGCGCCAGTAGAGGCAGATAAGCCTGCGAAGAAGGACAACAAGAAGAACAAGGACAAGAAGGCCAAAACCGACGAGTCACAACAAAAGGATGACGCCAGCACCGACGCCCAACCCGAGGAGAAACCCAAGGAGGAACCAAAGAAGAGCAAGAAGGACAAGAAGAAGCAAAACAAGACCTCCGAAACAACGACCCCCAACGATGAATCTGCTGCCGGCGCTGATGCAGAGGCTGCTGATGGCAAAGGAGACCGTCACATTGTCTTCGTCGGCAACCTGCCCTTCACCGCCACCGCCGAAACAATCAAAGCCCACTTTGCCTCTCTCAACCCAGTGTCAGTTCGCTGCATGAGCGATCCCAAGGATAGCAAGCCCTGCCGTGGCTTCGCCTTTGTCGAGTTCGAGAAGGTCTGGCATATGCGAACATGTCTCGACAAGTTCCACCACTCCGAGTTCTCAGATGGTGTCTCTTATCCCCGCCGCATAAATGTCGAGTTGACGTAAGTTTGCTTTCGTACTTGTTCTGTCTTACATGATAACTCATCTCATTGTTTTGACTCCACCCCCCTTTCCCTCAGCCTGATTCAACACAAAAGCGCCTCGATTTGTGTAACCATCCCAGTGTGACTAGTCTTGACTTGACTCACGCTCACTACTGCTTCACCGACACTCACCTGCACGAACAGCAACTTCATACATAACTAGAACATACGCTAACTCTGTGTAACAGTGCCGGTGGAGGTGGCAAGACAAAGCAGCGCCAGGACAAGATCAAGGAGAAGAACCGCAAGCTCGACGAGAACCGCGCCAAGCGTATTGAGCGTGAGAGGATGGCAAAGGAAGAGAACAAGGGCAAGGGTGACACTCGCAAAGCTGGAGAGGATGGTATTCATCCAAGTCGACGTGCCCACATTCCTGGGAACCGCTGGTAGAAACAGCTCACCAGGCCTCGAGCCAAGGGTGTGAAGCTCAAGAAGGAGTAGGTTTGTGAGGGTCTCTGAAGGTGTTTTAATGATTGTACTGGGATCGGATACACAAAAGTTGACTGTGCATTTATATGATAGGTAGTGAGAGATACCCAAAGGAAGTGGATCCTTGACCTCACGAAGAAGAGCATGGAATAGACGATGAATTATATTTCTATATCCACTACTCGATTCAACTGAATCTGAGATATTTCTGCTTCAGGTGGAGGACCCATCTAAGCGGACTGTTGATCGTATATATCCACCGGTGTAGACTGTAGGTCCTTTTCTGTTTACGCTCCGGTTCAAGTGCACGTATACTCTATTAGGAGCTCTAACAAGCAATGCAATATCTTTCGCCCATAGCGACAAACCAAAGAGACCAATTCACGATAGAGACGGAAAAGAATTGACCGCTGCTGGAAGATGTCCGATGACTATACATCGCAGAAACGAGTTGCCAACTTCAAGTCTTGAGATAGTGAATACCAGACACGAGACATGATGGCCATGCCTATTCAACAGACCTCCACAGGCAAAACGGACACTTGTCGAAGAAAACAAAACATCACAAAACAATCGCAAGCAATCATCTATTCAAAGTGCAATCCGGTTCTTGAATTACTGGCAAAATCGGTATAAACTCCGCGAGGAGGCCACAGCATGAGATATGAGCAAATAGAGATAAATAATAAAAAGCAACGGTTGGAAACACGTAACCGCAGATAGTAAAAACCCAAAATTCATTCAAGAACCGCCTCGCAAGTAAAGCCATCGTCATATGCAGTTGCCTCCGCATGATCGTTGCGAGGGTCATGGTCTGGGGACGGGTATCGGGCCTCGAGAAAAAAGCAATAGCCTAGTCCAGCCCCAGCCGCTCCCAGGGGATATTCCGTCAAGAGCTGCCGTCTTGTATCGCTGAATGCCTATTAAACATTCGTCCTGAGTTCTTTGTGTCGTTTCGCGTCGTCCAGACGCTTTCGTTGAGAAAATCAAGCGCGTGCCTAGCCACGCGCGGGAATAGCGTTCATTAGATGGATATCTACAGAATGGAGCACTTGTTCTTCTTTTGCTTCGAAGGTGTGGGTCGAGGGTTAAGAACAGCTCTAAACACGAGTCAGATGCGTACTACAGCACATAATCACGGTTGATGCTTACCGGATGGCCTCGTCAAAAACGCTCTTGAGGTTCCTTTGAGTGAGGGCAGAACACTCGAGGTACTTGTAGGCCTTGATCTCCTTGGCGCAAGTCAACGCCTGCTCGTACGACACAGGCTCCATACGCTTCTGTCGAAGTGATTCGAGGGTGGAGGCGTCTTCTCGAAGATCAAGCTTGGTTCCGACAAGGATAATGGGAATGTTAGGCGCATGATGATCAATCTCGGGATACCACTAATGAGGATGTCAGCGGAGTCGACGTGTCGTGGCGATAAGGGGGGCGGCGTACCTTTGCCTTGACGTTGTCGAATGAAGGAGGGCTGACGATGGAGAAGCAGATGAGGAAGACGTCGGTCTGGGGGTATGAGAGAGGTCGCAGTCTGTCGTAATCCTCCTGACCAGCAGTATCCCAGAGGCCAAGGCTGATAGGCTTGCCATCTACCATAACACTCGCTGAGTAGTTGTCGAAGACAGTGGGGATGTATTCGCCGGGGAAGGCATTTGTGGTGTAGGAAATGAGTAGACAGGTCTGGAAGCACAGTCAGCGGAAGGGTCTTGCTGTGAAAAGCCATCGCGTTTTAAGCGGCCGTTTGTTGTCCGACGTACCTTTCCAACAGCACCATCACCAGTCACCACGCACTGTAGCAGCGGTCAGCCAACCATGTATTGCGTCAGGTAACCATCGGCTCAACAAACCTTCAGTGACTGCACGCCGGGCTGAGCCATTGTTGCGATCGGTTATGGGGAGAAAGTCGAGGAAAATGGGTATCAAATCGACGAATTGTGTGGAAGCGCCAAAAGTCGTCGAGGGGCAGATGGAGATGATGGAAGCGACGATTGTTGAGTCTGTACGAAGATGGTGGATGTAATGTAGACTAACTAGAGTGTAGGTAGTAGGTAGGTAGGTAGGTTAGAGCCTGGAGAGGGGCAGGTCAAACAGGCAGGCCAGGGACTCGAAGGCCGGATAACGGAAGGGAACGATGTGCGACGATGACGATTTTGTTTTGGATGCGACAAGCGGCGACAGAACTCGAATGGATCCTCAGGTGAGTTTCACAGCTGCATAAAAAGATAGGTCAGAGAAGAAACTTGACACAAAACCGAGGTGTAGTTCACGCGTTTTGTGCCGCAGAAGGTGAGGCCACAGGAGGAGGTTCAACGATGGGAGCCGCTCCACCTCTATCAGCATTGGATGTATCAGTGGACTAGACTGGCACTGGACTAGACGCCCCCAAGCCCAGCAAGCCCAGGCAGTGGAGGACCACGAGAGAGGCGCCCAGGCCCAGGGTCTGCCACCAGTAGCCACCTCCCGTGCCACCTCAGGCCCTGTTCGCAGTAATAAGCCAAGACCTAGCCTCGCCGACTAACTTGACCTACTGGAACTTATGCGCTTGGGATGCCAGGAGTTGATCGCTATCAAGAGCTTGCTCAAGGCAATAAGGTAGGCGCCTGGGGGTGGGGGAGATACAAGGGCTCAGGGGCCAACCAAGCACCGTAATTTGGGGTAAAGGCAGCTCACCTGCTGTATCGCTGAGCCCTTTCGTGGTAAGGATTCGCTGTTAATGGCCGTCTTGGCTAAGATGGACTCTCGGTTGCGGCTGGGGATGAGAATGCAGATGCCGGATTGGATGAAAACCGAACAAAGATTGCCGGGTTATGAAAAGAGATGAAGATGGAGAGGCTGCAAGAGTTGAGAGAGAGAAAACCAAAGGCAGGGAATAATGCTCACACTACAACAGATGAGATTATTCCAAGACTGCACAAGGCGCGGCTATTTCAAAGTGCAGGCGGTGGCTGTCGGTGCAGATGAAAGGCGGAGAGAGGCTGCGGGAATGTGGATGGCGGAATACCTTCTTACAATAAACTCTGCGCCAAAAAAGAAGTAGTGTCCGCGCTGATTTGCAAGACAATGTGATCAAGCAATTAGGAGCAGTGGCGGAGAATTTAAGAAACACCAGGAGCTTGTGCTGTCATGCTAATTATTTATCTGTCCCTACGGAGTATTGTGCATCATAATGCCTACCTAGCTGGGAAGGGAATAAAGGAGAACTGCTACCGCTACCGCCGTAATGAACAAAACCACCGAATCATGAAACCTGGCCGATCTCTTCAACTGAATTCAACCTCCGTGACTCACGCCAACCTCAAAGCAGAAACAATTGATATCATAGCAAGCTCGTTTGTTAAGAATCAGGTAGCACTTCAAGACAGGGATCAGCAATAAAGAGGTTGGAGATAAAGATATGAAGACCAGGGATGCATGTTGAGAGTTGTTGGAACCTCCACTGGGCGCTTAGACCCTTGCTCGGACCATTGAAGCTGCTTCTCGGCGTGTAAATCTTCATAACGTGACGACTGGAAGCTGCTGACAAGTAAAATGGATCGATAGCTCAGTGGTATGAGCGAGGGATTGCAGATCCCTAGGTCGCGTGTTCGATCCACGCTCGGTCCTGATATTTATTCTTTTGCTTCTTTTTGCCATTGCTTGGCGATCATCTTACAGAGCATGTAACTTAGCTCCTCTAATTGCTTACGTCGAGCCGTCAGCTTATTTGTTTCAAGAATGCTCGGACGGTCATTGTTTTGAACTTTATTTTCTTTTCTTTTTCTCAGAATACCAACTGGTGTGTTCCCTCATGTTTCTCTTGTGGACTTGAAACCCTACTAATAGAAACATCAGTTTCCAGCTGACATCTCACGAAATGGCTTCAGGCTTGTTCTCTAATGTCTCTCCATGGCATATTCCCGCCATTTTCATAGGCACCGCTTTCACTCTCGGGGGTCTTCTTCCTTTGAGAGCCCCAGACCGTGCTATGCGCGAGTACGGGTTGCCCGAGGGCATCGTCAGGTCAGAGCCAGCGCAATTGGCATTCGGTATATACGGCACTCGTGTAGCTGCTTATGGTGTCGCTCTGTGGACGTTCTATCTCCGTCGCGAATACCATGTCGTTGATACGCTCATGAGCTTACTCTTGTTGTGGGGTGCTGCTGATTGTTGGATTTGTATCAAGGCTGGTGTGCCCAGGACAGCTGTTTGGAGATTTGTGAGCAGTATCATGATTGGCGGGTATGGATATCTTGGATTAACTGCGAAGGGATCTCTCTGAAGCTCTGCTTTGCATAGGATGGTTGAGTCGATCTCGAAGTTGTTGATTACCAAGTTCTTGGCTTATCATCTAACGTTAGTCACCGCCTCATCTCTTTGATTTATGGTGATATTTAATATGCGTTCAAAATACGACATATTGTCTGTACAATTGATTACATTTTACTTTTGAGATCTCTCAATAATTAAGACCATGGTCGTTTACATCAACAGTAATGCAGGCAGGTACCTCATGTGAATGGCCCGTGCACTCAAGCTCCCCTCGTCGCGTGTGGCTGAAGCTTGTCGCGTTCCCACCTGAATCTTGAATTGACATTCATCATTGACATGGATCGATAACATCAACAATAACCGAAAACACAAATAATTCTCCGAATCGCTGTGCTCGTATTACGTCCGTATCTTCTTCAAGTTCTATGGATGCAGATCTCCACGATTTCGAGACATTATCTGCCAGTTGAGCGGCCATCGCCCCGCCAGCCATTCCGGCGCATCTAAACAAACACCACAAATATGTCGAGTCTATCGCCGCCAGGAAAAGCAGCATCTCAAGAAACGCCCGCGCGAACTCCTTCGAGAACTCCGAACCGTCGAGCTATTAGCGCTGAGCCGTTTTCTGGCGTTCACACACCTCTCGATCGTAGCGGTGCCCGAGACCTGCGTGCCTCTCTTCGACGTGGTACCCCAGCATCTGCAGGTCGATCCAATGCGCCAACTCCTCATGCCAAAGCCGCTCGTCGGCTGCTAGACCAGCGTCGAACGGCAATGTTTACACCCGGAAAAAACCGCAGACAGAGCATGCTGCAGCAGAGAGAAACACCCTTGGATATTTTACGAATGCTCGGTCGAACACTAGCGCCTAAGAGCCAGCCTATTCACTCGTCATCTTCGTCGTCTCCGGGGAATAAACGGAGCTCGTCACCGGAGCAGAGGGAGGACAGCAACTTGTATGATGATGACGATGATGATGAAGACGACGATCTACTAACGAGGCCGCCAAGACTATCCTTGCCGTTGGACATTGAAGATGCTTCTAGTACCAGCTCAGATTTGCCTCCACCAAGGTTGTCACAATTGGATGAGGACAACTTTACTATGCAGTCTATTGAGATGCCTCGAAGGATTGCAAACGACTCTCGGCTATCTCGAGGGAGTCCCGGTAGCGAACGCATGAGCGACTACTTCAATGAAGCCACAGAAGACGATATCGGCCAACAATCAGATTTCTTCCCCGGTCTGCTAGAGGATCTTCAGGCGAGAGCTGGACAGGATGATATGACACTCGAGCCGTAAGTCTACCACTGCCTAAGTAGATGCAGTGCATTGCTCACATAAGAACAGGATTGAGGCAGACCAGACCCGGCGAATGGCCGAGGGCCCAGGCAGCGACTTCAATTTCGAGTACCCTGGTGGACTGGAGGATGGAACTGTTTTTCAGATGTCCGACCCCGCCAACGATCTTCAAGCAACATCACCAATTGTTGAGCCGTCAGTAGTAGAGGCCAGGGCAGATGATGCTCAGAATCCCCGCCCTGATGTTGTGTATGGATCCGACTCCGATGCTGGTGGCGGGGACTTTGGTATGGACGGTTGGGATTACAACGATGGTGGCGTCGACGATCATAGCTCGATAAATGAGGAGCCAGTGCCAATACCAGAGCCAACAATCACAGCGGGGATACGCCATGAACCAGCTGATGATAGGCTACCTCGCGGCTTGAAAGCAAAGAAGCGAAAGCGAATATCGCAACATGGCATTGAATATCCGTCACTGCCTCCAGCTTTCGTCAAGCGAGTGGCCCAGACGGCTCTCCAATCGTCAGGTCTGAGCAACCAGCGTCTATCAGCCGAGACATTAGATGCTCTCATCCAGTCCTCGGAATGGTTCTTCGAGCAGCTGGGTGACGACTTGGGAGCCTATGCGGATCACGCGAAGCGCAAAACAATTGAGGAGAGCGATGTCTTCACACTTATGAAAAGGTATGTTATTTCACTGGGGTATCAGCTCCGTATTTTGTTCTAGCCAGAAATTCTAATATCGTACAGGCAACGTCAGATAGGGCCGCGTTCCTCCATGTTCTCCTTGGCACAGAAGCACCTCCCAAGAGAACTCCTCCAGGAGCTGAGAATGCCAGTTCCACAACCCGCTAAGCAACGCAAGGCAAGACGTGTATCGGGCCGCGGCGACGAGGCAGAAGTTGCTGAAGATGCTGAAGACACATGAGTTTCACATGGTGCATGCATTATGAGATATACAGTTTACAGGCCCTTTGAGCGGGCTACACGACGAGCGACGTCGTTTGCAGGCTTTTTGACTACCATCCAAAGCATGATGGATGTTGCGACAGCAAGGCCATACCTAAAGCAAGGAGTCAGAAAGCCCGGTGCTGATGGACATAGAATGAGGCAACTTACCAGGTAAAGATATACTGGGCGTGGTTGTTTCGCAGGTTTACCTCCGCAGGTCGGCCATAGGGAATACCGCGAGCCTCGAAGTCGACCATTTGCATGAACTCGGGTTCTGATGTCGTTAGCGAGACATCAGGAAATGAAAGATTATGATGATAGACATACCCATAGTAGCCTCAACCCAGACAGGCTGGCTACCGGTTAAAGCAGCCATCTGCTTTACATCCGGGAAATAAAACATGCCCTTCTCGGGCTGGTTCTCCGGTGTAAACATGTTCTTCTTCCACGGCTCCCTTAGAAGTCCTTCCACTGTGACCTCACCCGTCGGCAGTCCATCAGGTCGGGTCCTCTTGTCCCTGTGCTTCTTATCGATCCAGCCTCGGTTCACGAGAATTGTCGTGCCGTTCTCTCGCTCCAATGGTGTGACTACCATGTACCCATCTGTACCATCTCGCATACGCGGTCCGATGAGCATTTCTTGATCATGTCGGAAATGGCCTTTCGCTACCACACGGCGATAGTCAAAGTCATGGATGGCATCGGGATCGATGGTTGGTGGGAGGGGTAGAGGGTCGCGGATCAGTCGGTCTTCGAATTTGGCAATAAGTTCGGATTTCCAGCCAAGACGCTGGACTTGCCATGTTCCGAGGATGAAGGCTGTGATGGGGATAATAGCTAAATCAATTAGACCATACTCTGTTCAATTGATGAATCCTGAAGCAAACCGAGGATGATTAGACCTGGGCCATGGCGTTTTCCAACACGGACAAGCTTTGGAGGGCCGTCGAGAATAGAGACGAATTCTGGATCGTCGGCTGATGGCTGTTGCTTGCGACGGAAGAAGGATGATGTGAATTGTCTCCTTGACGGGGCATTTGTGAGTCTTGTACACCGGGGGATCTGTCTTGACAAGCGCAGACTGCGCAAGACTGTATTAGGTGCGTTCATTATGTCTGATGGCGCATTGAAGGCGTGAGGTCAAGTGGTGATAGCTAGCTGTGAATGATGTCGATTGTGGTGGGTTCATTCGGGGATAGACCCACTCTCGACGTTGAATCCCCTACAGTGGAATCCGATGCAGCTCACCAATAACTCAAAGTAGGTAAAGCGTTTGTAATTTTGATTGAAGATTTCTTTAAACCAATACTCCCTATCACTTTAAATGCATTATTAAATGACCAGGTTAAATTCACGATCGTATTTCAACCAGACATTGAATAACCAACACCGACTCTGACATCTTCGAATACCATTGGTCGTTACAGTCCACTGTACAGTGTAATACTGCTGAGTCAAGAGGGGCCCATGTTTGCTCCCATACTGTGTTGTGTAACCTAGCGTCTTCGGAATTGTTTTGAGAGCTTGCGCAGGTCCGTCAGTCACCTAAATCTATGGTCAACAGGGTGCAAGTCGAAAGTTATGAAAAGATATTAAGTCTAAGCAATTATATGAACCCGAATTAGATTTAATATGTCAATTGCGAAGAACACAACCATCCTGCTGCCATTCCTGCCAAGCTGGCCTGTTTGCCTTGATCTTGGTGTATTCTGATAATTGATAATTACGTGCCGCGTTTTCCAGCACAATTACACGTTTTGTGATATGTTAACCATGAATTAAATGCTATTTCAGTCAGAAGTTGAATAACACTGATATGGTAGCTCTTACACACAATTGGTTGACCAGAAGAATAAGTGGCTCTTGATACAGTGTAAACACCGCTTAGTCAAGAGGGGTTCCATGTGCGATTCTACACTGTATTGTGTAACCTAGCGTCTCTGGAATTGTATTTCACATACCCTGGACCTCAAGTTGGGATCGGTTTTCAGTCAAGACGTGAGATAAGTACTGATTCGATGCTCCTACACATAATTGGCTGACTCTCAAGATTAAGCGATACAGTGCAGACACTGCTTAGTAAAGAGGGCTTCCATGTGTGGCATTGTACTGTGTTGTGTAACCCAGCGTCTTTGGAATTGCTTCATGGCACATCCTGGACCCCAAAGTGGCTGGTTTCAAGCCAGATGTCGCGTAACACTGCATGTGCACATGACGAGCTGAATCAAAAGGTTCTATACAGTCCAGGACAGTGTTTACACAGCTTAGTCAAGAAGGGAATCATGTGTGACGTCGTACTGTGTTGTGTAACCTAGCGTCTCTGGAATCATCAACCTCAATATCAGAGCAAATAAGGCTGCACCGTGAGCTTGCCTCAAACATCAATAACCCCTTGAATCCCGAAAAAAGCAAAAACAGAATTAATGCCCGTAGCTTCGTACAAGCGCACTAAAAACCAATCCTTGTCTGAGAATTCATTTTCGGCGGTCGGAGATGGGTTCACAGCAATATTCGTACTCATCTGCAACCACCTGCGGCCACCCGTGATGCTTAGGACCTTTTGGTCCGACTCCGATAAATCAACTCGGATATTTCCTCTTCTCTCACTCAACAGATGCGTTGCATTACCAACAGGTTTCGTCATAAAACTGAGACATACATGTTTTTGAGATAAGCAAGAAACGCCACGAATCACCTGCGTACAAGTAGGCTGAAGCGCCCGCCTCGCTCTCACTTCTTCTCTTTCACCTTTATTCTTCTCCTTGAAAAGCTTGCATGGTCAGTCATCATGGAGAACCTACCAGACCGAGCGCAGCCCGGATCGAAGAGCTGTACCGACTGTCTTCGTCGAGAAGTGGACTGCGTCTTTGACGACGGCCAGGCTGAGTGTCAGCAATGCATCAAACACTTCCTCACCTGCCAGCCGCAGAATGAAGACTCATCTCCCCGAGACAGAGATGAAATCTTCCAAGAGTTCTCGCTGTTTGCCAGAAAAGTTGAGTCACGAATGATTCTTCTGCAGACTGCAATCGAACTCTTGGCTCGCAGAGTTGACTCGCAAACCAGCAACCGGGTCAACTATAGTAGTGAGCCAAGCTACCGGGCTGTGAACCAGATACTTGAGGTTGGTATCACTTTGGAGGCTCTGAAGGTCATGATGGCTTAAGCAGTCTAACCCTCTTTACATCACAGATACCGGAGACACCACAAACGCATTTGACGGACTCGCTTAAGGGGCTTGTACCTGACAAGTCGGCTCTCACCAGGATTCTGGAACACAGTAGCAAGTTCACCCAGAACTGGGCGAGCTGGCCTCTAGCAACGGTGTCATACCAGCAGCAAGACAACGACGATGTCCCCGTCAATACAGTTACGGTGTTTGATGCTGGATTTCCAACCGACGTCAACTCAGCTTTGGCCTTCATTGACAAGTCATTGTCCCCAAACCGCCAGAAACCACCAGACCCTGGCGCTGCCGCAAAATGCATGGTTTGGCTCTGCCTCTCCGCCAAGGAGTTACCAATGAGGTTCAAATATGTCGACAATCGAGCACCATCACCGTTTGAGCCGAGACATCTCATTGAGAACTGCATCTCCAAAGTTGAAGCCCTGTATCGCATCAGCTCAACACCGGTCTGCAACATAGACTTTGTCCAGGCCCTTCTCCTCCAAGGCGAGCTATCCCTCTCCATAGGTCGCCCGACGAAGGCATGGAAGTGTATCAGGACTGGCATCGAGAACGCCATGCTTCTGGGAGTACACCAGGGCCGGTCTAGCCTGGATCGGGCTATTTGGGAAGAGTTATGGATTCGTGACCGACAGCTCTCACTCTTCCTTGGGATGCCCCATGCAGTCCCCGCACAATTGGGGCCCAGGGTAGTAGAGGAAGAGTACCCCCTTGCGGAAAAGGAAGCTATCCGCCAGATAGCCAAGCTATCGGGTCTTCTTACAAGCCAAACCCTCATGAGGGAAGACACTACTAGTGCCACGATCAACCGCACACTTGAAGAAATGGAGGAATTGAAAGCAATGATTCCGGAGCATTGGACCAAAGGACACCTGAGATATGTCCCCTATCTCCCACAAGCCTCCACCCGCGCCAAGATCAAGATCCTCTATCACTCATTCGAACTTATGCTAAACTGGCCCAAGTGTCAACTGTCAAACATGAATCCTGGGAGAATTGACGACTTTGAGCCTTCAAGAAAGGCGATACTAGCATCGGCACAGGAGATCCTAAAGGCCCAAGAAGCCATGAGAGCACCGGAGGTCGAGCCGGACACAGTGATGAGGGCTGACTTTGTGGACTTCCTTGCTTTCAAGGCTGCACTTGTCATGATAGCCGTGATGAAACACAGGGCGAACCCCATGCCGGTTGAGGAGAGCAAACCTCTCTGGAAGATGATAGATGAGCTGGGAGACAGATTTCAAGAGACGACCAAGACATATGACGACCAATTTGCCAAACAGGCTTGCCTCATTCTCAAAATTCTGTTCTGCGCGAGTGAAGGGGATTATATCTGGTGTGGAACGTATGAAGCAGTCATCCCCTACTTTGGCAGACTCCAGATTCGTAGAGTCATCCTCGCAAGGGACCGGGCTAAACACAGCGACAAGGACACAAACCTAAACAGAATAGCTGTCGTGATGGAGTCGGACAATGTCGTTTTTGGACCGCAGTATGATCGTGTCCCGGAGCTGGAACTGGCAGCGGACTGGACTGAGCGGGGACATTCCCGGGTCTATGGATGGAGAACATTTTTTGAGTTTGACTGTTTGACTCGAGAAGGGTTTTAGGATGTGTGCTGGGCACCAATCCGTCAGTATGGGCGTGGAACTGAATGTTGGTCAACTTTGTGACATGATGAGACGTTTTCAATATACAACTTTTGCAGAACATTGGATCCATATGTGCTTTTAACACGCTCAGCGACGGAACGACGATGCATCCATCATGCTCATCCCCATCCCCTCCATTCCACCTCCCTCCATCGCAGCCATCATCTTTCTCATCTGTGAACCATCACCTCCTCCAGGGGCACTCAGATACACAGCCTCTCCAACCATACGCAACTGCATAGGGAAGCGAGGATCTCCATAGTAGTCAATGATCTCCTGCTTACTCGTCTTCTTCTTCAAGTTCTGCCACTGACTTGAATCCATTCCCAACTGCTCACACTCCTGCTGCTTCTCTGGTGTCCACCATGAAGGAAGCAGCCCTCTTCGGACTGATGCTTGTCGTAAGAAACGTTGAAAGCCTCGTAGCCCGTCTGAAGCACCGCCGTAGAGACTGTCTCCATCTGCTTGACTTTCAAGATTGTACATGTCGTCCATGCGGAGACGATAGGTGTCAATCAGAAGCCGATAGACGTCTTCCTCAGGACGGTTGTGCAGGTAAGTGCCGTTGTCGAGACGAGTAAAGGGGTTGGGAACAGACTTCTCCAGACCCTTCTTTGGGGACTGGCTCATTTCGTCTGGATCATGGACGTTGGCACTGGCAACTGAATCTGCCTGCTTGCCACAGATCTTCTTGTGGGCTTTCCAGTCGGCCTTTTGACATTCCCGAGAGCAGTATTGCGTGGTGGAACACTTGGCACACCGCCTGAGCTGAACTGCAGGCTCCTCCTTGTTGCAGGTGTTGCAGGCAGCCATAGTGGAATGAGTCGTTGTGTGTCAGTCTCAGCCTTCAGTCTTGGAGTCTTGGGCCTCTTGTCTGATAAGAGCTGAGATGATATCAAGGGAGGAGATGCAATTAAGTGATGTCGGTGGCTTAAGGTTTGCGGGGATGTGAATCAGCCAGGATGACCCTGGTCACTATCATCAATTCTCGAGTCTTCTTCTACAGACAATAATGATATGATATTGCTCTGCAACTGAGGCTCTTTCCGGCTTAGACTATTCGGTATTCCCGTAAAAGTGGCCAATGGATGTTTCGACCCTCACTACCTAGAGGCGGCTTCTTTGAGAACCACCTAAGGCACAGTGTGAATGGTGTCAAGCTCAAACAAGTTAGTGACTCTCGTTGGGTGTAAGTCTGGAGTAAGGTAATGGAGACTCTACGTTGAACAAGGAGAGCTGCCAGTATATATAGTATATGTTATCATGTAACGTTGCTTGCTGCCCTTTGGCTTGCATATATAGTCAAACAAGAGTGTGGTCTTGGGCTTTTTAGTAGATGCTTGCTGCAGCTTCGTGCTCTCCAAACAGGATTGCCTTATGATGGTTCACGAGTGATATCGCCAATCAAGACAAACCTAACTGACCACACGGCGCCTGGAGTACCAAGTAACGCCAGTCTAAGTAGGCGAAGACAACTGGAAGGATGCTTGTTGAGAAAACCATGTGTTGCCTTGAGTCTTTGGTCGCATCTGGCCAATCGTCTCTACTCTCAGAGACAGGCTATTGATAAGTTTGTATGAACTTGGCGTTGGCATCAAGCCAAAGAAAGCAACCCAACTTCCGAGAATATTCGCATTGAGGCCTGAGAGTTTCTTCCCAAACCCTTGGAGCCCAACCAAACTGTGCTTGTTGCCGGCAGGAGATGGCCGAACTTATCGTACGACATCTGTTTATTATATTGGTAGCGCTTATACTAAGTCTACTTAGCCAAAATGTAACCGCGGTCGTGGACCAATGACAGATACCAGCAACTACCGAACAGGGGTCCATTACGACACAAGCAGAGGGAGACTGCTTTTTTCTTCCTTTGGCCATTATTACCTTTGTTTTACGTCGTGGGTTCTGTTTGTCGAGACATGTGAAAACAACCCCCAAACATCGCCATTCGTGGCATAACTTGGTAGATTTCTATTTCTGGTCTGACAACCTTGCAAATGGGACCGGATCTTCTGGGCCGGATCGTGTTATTACCGCTCCAGGAACCAAGTGCGGGTATGCATAAGTGATGGTCATCGTTAACAGCTTAGGTTGCGATCCATGATCTGCAAACTGCATAACCGGCAGTAGTTTGATCTTGGCTTATCTTTGTTACTTACCTACCTATCTAGGCATATTTCCAGCGGGATTATTGACCCCCTGTCATATACTGTAAATGTCTTCCTGGATGACAATGACTCACAAATGAACTCGTCGGCACGTCTCTTGGCTTTCAGATTCAACATTATACTATTTGGCGATGCAGCTTGCGAAACAGTACACAGTTCATCGACGATACCGAACCCGCTGGGAGAGCGGGAAATCAATGCTATCATTAGTGCACCAGGACCAGTAAAGCACCAAATACAAGGAAAACATGCGCTACCAAATGCCAGTATTCGGATAGATACAGAAAGATTCATGAAAGTGTATCTATTGTCTTGGTCACCATGGCTTCGATCTGCTGCCATCTGCGCCGCAAAAGTTCCCGCTGGCTACTCGAGCCGCCTTCTACCTCATCTATATCTCCCAGCGTCTTTCCGATGATGTTCAAGAAATCTTTCAGTGCTGTCAACAACAGTTCATCAACTTCAGCCTGCGACGAACGCCCCTCGTCTTGAGCATCAAAGAACCGCTGCCATTGCCTTTGCGTACAGCATAGCATTCGCAGAGCGACCTGAGTTCTGTGACACCCTAATGTCTGGTCATCGAGGGTGTATCTTCCAAGAAAGTTGATACTTTCAAGGTCGGCACACTGCGTCTTGTTCAGCATCGGAAGAATCACTTCATCTAGGTAGACATCGTCCCAACGATTCGTATCTAGAATGAAACCGTACTCGGAAAGAAGAAAGTCGTTTGGGTGAGGCCCATACGATACGTAGACTTCCTCACCTTGGCGATAGACTCTATCTGCTTGAACGCTGTATCCCAGGGCTGAATAGGCGAGCTTGCATCCTTGATCAGCATGGTTGAACAGGTCGGCTGTTGGCATGCAGACTAGTCGGTCAGCATGAGCGTAGCTTTTCATCTTGGGCATGCTGTTGTAGAAAGTTCTGGTGTTGATGAGCACCCAAGAGTATAGGTACTCATCCCTGGTCAATTCCGGAAATGCTTTTAGAACAATTTCGCACTCGCGTCTGAATCTAGTATTCTGATTATCCAAGAGATCCTTGGCCCTCTTGGGCAGAAGGGCTTGGAGTTCACTCGGCCACATCATGGGCACACCAGCCTCTAGATCTTGCCGGGTTGGCAAGACTGTTTTCCATACAGAAAAGTCATCACTTTCGTCGAGAGCAATCTCAGCAGCCAAGACGCCATGAACTGAAACTCCTTGAAGGGCTTCGGTGATGTTCTTTGGTACTGTATCAATGGTGCGAACTGCCTTCATTGGCACACTCAAAATAGTTTCATTTGGCTTGGGAATATTAGAATGGTTTCGAAAGAAGACTTGTTACTCACCTTGACATCGCGAGTTGCGACAATACCAATACCACGACCTGGAAGAATTCGAGGTTCAACACCTTTTAGTTTGACTCCTTTACTTTCTGCCCAAGGCAGAAAAGCAGGATCAATAAGCATTTTGGGACAAATGCTCTCTCACAAGGAGAAGCTGGAAGAAGAAAATCAAAGTCGGATCAGTAAAAATATGTGTTACATGTTCCCTTTGACTCATTCATTCACTCTCCCATGTTAGATAGATCCTTTGCAAAGTTTCTACTGGATGGCGAGCTCTATACCGCTGAGTAAGCCCCCGAAACCCGAAGGTCGGCGCTGAAGCTAGGGCCACGTGATGCCATAAGCGTCATAGCTAGCTCTCATAGCTGCTCTGCCTTCACTCATGATGGCTTGGTTTACATCCATTCAAGCCTTGTTTAGCCAGACATGATCGGAGTTGATTCTTGCCAGTAACTTTTTGCTTTACTTATTTAACCATCCGACGCACTTGCTACACAAATAATTAAGACGTGTTTGTTTTTTATTACGTGACAAGTATTCACGGCGTCTCAAGGGAGTTGAAATCAAGACGAGACAGCTTTAACCTTAACAACACGTCGCAACTTTATCTTGCTCACAATCGCTCACTCACCCACTGTTTTCAACTTTTCCATAATCCAAGTCAAGAGCTTATTATCTTCAACATATTTCGCCATGTTTTATGAGGGAACCCTTCAGGAAGGTATCTCGACAGCCGTCGGTCAGCAGAAACTTGTTCTATGTTTCGTGACAGGTATGTTTTGTCATCACTCTGACCCACGCAATAACTCACATGCATGTTAGATGAAAGCGACGAGAGCACACAATGGGAAAATGAGTTTCTGGTCGATGATACGGTAGGATTACGGATATTTACAGACCATATGTGATGGGGCTAATTACGGTGTAGTTGAGCGACTTACTCAAGGAGCATTCTATTGCGCTCCGTCTTAAAGCTGGGTCCGAGGAAGCCGGATATCTAGCTCAGATCTTCCCTCTGCCACGGACTCCGACTGTTGTTATCATTAAGAATGGAGAACTAAAGGAGTACATCACACCGGGGACCAGCAAAGAGGATTTCTTGCGGAGAGTTCAGACTGCTTTTAACTCCACTGCTGCGCCTACAGCTCCAGCTCCAGCTACAACCCAACCAACACTGGCACCAGAGCAGGCCAGCCCACCACAGCCCCAAGCAGAGACACCCGTCGCTTCAGAACAGCAGAGCACTCCTCCAACAGCGGCTCCTTCAACGTCAGAGAATGTTCGTCGGATACTAGCCGAGAGGGCTGCCAGGCTGCAAGCCCAAAAGGAGGAGAATGAGCGCAAGGCGAAGGAGGAACGCGCAAGGACGAAAGAGAAAGCCAAAGCTGAGGCCGAAGCTGGTATGGACACGGACAACGCCCGGGCTCACAAGCAAGCTGAGGCAGTAAGGAAGAAGAAACAGAAAGACCAAGAGGAGAAGGCGCGGATTCTCAAACGCATCGAAGATGACAAGGCAGAGCGACGCCTGCGTGCCGAGCAGCGTGAGAAGCAGAAGCTTGATAACCTCAAGGGTGGCGACGTCGCAGCATCATTAGTGAATGCACCAGAGACAAAGCTGTCAAGCTCCTCCAAGTCTGGCGCGATAACGGCTCTTCAAGTCCGTTTGTTTGATGGTTCAACGTTGAGGAATCGCTTCAAGACGACTGCGCACCTAAAAGAGGTCCGACAATGGGTGGATGAAAATAGAGGCGATGGTTCGCAGCCATACACGTTCAAGCAGGTTCTCACACCTCTACCGAATAAGAACATTGATGAGACCGAGGAGGACAAACCGTTAGGAGATCTTGGCCTTTTTCCGTCTTCGACATTGGTGCTTATTCCCGTCAAGAAGTTTACGACCGCCTACGATGAATCACAGGGCATCGTTTCGAGAGTTATTGGATTTATTCTCAGCATTTTTACATGGATATTCAGTCTTTTTGGAGGTGGTGATGATCGCACTGGGCACCGAGGCCCTACGAGCGATGCGCCGGCCAGTTCTCAAGAGCGTGTCCAGTCATTCCAGAATCGCAGAGATCAACAGTTGTACAATGGAAATTCGGTAAGCCTCGGTATCCCATTCTGTATCATGAACTTACTAACACGACAAAGCTGAACTTTGAGCCACGGCCAGAAGAGGAGAAAGATGAATGAAGGGGTATCCCAATTTGAGTGGGAGTAATGTCTTTTTTTGGCTGTATTATACAATTGACAGTGCTGAGATGTAACAGTAGTGTTTCCCCGCCGTATTCCTATATGCATGCACGCTGTCAGGAGATATA